AGTCCTATTCTAGCAGGCAAGACAGACCACAAATAGACAGAAAATAGAGGGAAAGTGAATACGTAGTGAAAGTACCATGGAGGGTGCTGGGGAGATGGCTCAGTGGAATAAGTGCTTCTCTGGTGAGCGCAAGGGCCTGAGTTCAATCCCCAAAAAAAAAAAAAAAAAAAAAAGTAAAAATAAGTTTGCTGTTGATCCTGGCAAAACTCCATATGCATATACTAAAAGTATTTTAAAGTATCATATATCAGTGATACTTGTATACTTATGCCTCAAGCAAGGTATGCATGTTTTTGTACATTAGCTGTGTTCTGTAAATAATTCACACCTAAGCTCTGCTAACAGCCTTGATGTCAATTATTGTATGCATGGTATAGGAGAATGTGCAGTAGGCCTACAATGATTGTGACTTCTCATATTCCCAGGACTCTGCTAAGCTAAGCCAGCATGGTGACAACCTGAAGTGCACACTGACCAATTGAGTAATCAGTTAGAATCTGTCCTAAAAAACCTAGAGATGTATTTTATTGCCCAGACCCTCGTTAAAATTTCAGCACTGAAAAAATATGGTTCAAGTGTTCAGCTAAGCAAAAGGAAGTTTCTCATAGCATCTGGCAAAAAAAAGTAGGAATCCACCTTATAATATTAAAAGTAGTATTTCAGATACAGATATTGAATTATCAAGTATTTTTTTTCTTTATGTGAGGTACTAAAATATAAATTAGAGAGGAAAAATAATTGATAAAAGAGACAAGTGTTCTGGAAAAGGTGTCAAATGATTAATATGTGATACACATATGAATTAATGACTTAAATTCAGCTTGAACTTGTGGATTACAAACATACCCATTTGAAATTAGCAAATGAATGTCATCCCTTTGTAAATGATCATTTTGGACGCATATTCCTGGGCTTTCATCCTAGTCATTCTCAAAATATTGTAACAGACACCAAGCCAGAAGTCCTCACAAATTATTGATATGGTAATCATTTTATTGTGTTTAACATGTTGTCTCCTCACAGAAATGAAGAGATAGCAATGTTTGATCGAGAAAAATCTTGCAATGAACATGCAAACATACTGCTTCAGATTTCAGATGCTAACGTGAGCATGCAACAAGCTTCTTTAAAGCCAGTTAGAAGACCTGTTTGTGGAGAGCACATAATTGGGAATTTATCATTGAATGTATCCATTTCACCTCACCCTGAAGAGAAGCCATATGGGTATTTGGGATCTGATGACAAAATGAATAAATGCAATGAACATAGAAAAACCTGCTATGATTTCCAGTCCTTTCAGAAGCATTCAAGTGCAGAGAATGGAGAAAAGCCCTATCAACATGAACAGTGTGGGAAATACTACTTAGAACTCAGTGAAAGAACTCACCCTGGAGAGATCATTGTTGGTCAGGACAGTGTGAAGGACTCAAACACACCAAGTTGTTTTCAAATCCATGGAGAAACTCACATTGGGAAGAAACCATACATATGCAAGAAATATGGAATAACCTTCAATACTCAAAGTTGTAAAATTTCGGAAAGGATACACATGGAAGAGAAACATCACGTATGTAAGCAATATGGGAAATCATTCAGCATATACACTCATTGTCAGAGTCATAAAAGTACTCACACTGGGAAGAAGCCTTATGTGTGCAAGCAGTGTGGAAAAACATTCACTAGAAAGTTTTATTCCAAGATACATGAAAACATTCACACAGGGGTGAAACCTTATGTGTGCAAGCAATGTGGAAAAGCATTTGCTACAAAGGCCTATTCTAAAACACATGAAAAAATTCACACAGGAGAGAAACCTTTTGTGTGCAAACAGTGTGGAAAAGCATTCACTACAAAAGCGTATTTAAAAATACATGAAAAAGTTCACACAGGGGCAAAACCTTATGTATGCAAGCACTGTGGGAAGGCATTCACTATAAAGCAGTCTTGTCGAAGACATGAGAAGGCTCACACTGTGATGGAACCTTTTGTGTCTGAGGACTGTGGGAAGGCATTCACTTCATATGATTATTTTGAAGTACATTCAAGAACTTACACTAGAGAGAAACATTATGTGTGCAGACATTGTGGGAAGGCATACACTACACATCATAATTGCCGAATACATGAAAGAACTCACACTGGGGAAAAGCCTTATGTGTGCAAGCATTGTGGGAAGGCTTTCACTGCCCGTCAATCTTGTCACAGACATGAAAGAACTCACACAGGGGAGAAACCTTATTTGTGCAAACATTGTGGGAAAGCATTCACTGCATACCATAATTGTCAGATACATGAAAGAATTCACACTGGGGAGAAACCTTATGTGTGTGAGTACTGTGGGAAGGCGTTCATTAGTTACCGATCCTGTCAGATACATAAAAGTGCACACACAGGGAACAAACCTTATGTGTGTAAGCAATGTGGAAAAGGATTCTCTATGAAGACTAATTTTACATGTCATGAAAGAACTCACACTGGTGAGAAACCTTATGTGTGCAAGCACTGTGGGAAGGCTTTTACTACACGCCGATACTGTCAAGGACATGAAAGAACACACACTGGGGAGAAACCTTATGTGTGCACACACTGTGGGAAGGCGTTCGGTACACAACCTAATTGTCACAGACATGAAAGAACTCACACTGGGGAGAAAAATTATGCGTGCAAACATTGTGGGAAGACATTCATTACAAAATATTCTTGTCAAATGCATGAAAGATATCACACTGGGGAGAAACCATATGTGTGCAAGCACTGCGGGAAAGCGTTCACTACATATCAGTATTATAGAGGACATGAAAGAACACACACTGGGGAGAAACCTTTTGTGTGTAAGCAATGTGGGAAGGCATTCACTACACTGCAGTCTTGTCAAATACATGAAAGAGCTCACACAAACAAGGAAACATATGCATGTGGGCCATGTGGAAAAAGATTTGTTAGTAAGTCCTCATTTTATCTACATAGATCTCACACTGAGGAACTACGCTATATAAACACTGGGGGAAGCATTCAGTGAGCACATTTTTTAATCAGCTATGTGAAAGCACTCATACTGGAGATGGACCTATGTGTGTAAACCTATTTGGAAAAGCTTGAGAAAATTCTTCATGTACTAGAGACCTGTATACATGTAAATGAACAATTTGATGTCAATATTTCTTGTACTTTTTCCCCAGAAAATACATTCCCTGATGGAGGTCTCCTGGAATGTATTACTTCTGTTTTATAGTAAATCACTTGGAAATAACAACTCAGTATCTATAGTACTTAGGAGTCACAAAATTGGCATACTATGTTTTTATGTATGCTGTTTAAGTATACAAAGTGAATTAAAATGTATTTTTCACTTCCAAGCAGGGTTAATATTTATGTAATTTTGATTTTTGTTTTTACTATGGAGAGGTACAGGGTGTGAAAAAATAAATTTTATTGGGCTGGGAAGATAGCTCAAGGGCATAAGTGCCTGTCTGCAAGCCTAAGGTCCTGAGTTCAATCCCCAGTACCACAAAAAAAAAAAAAAAAAAAAAAATTGGTATTTCTTACTTGAGATTTCTTACTAGCTACATTTGACATTTTCTTGTTATACACCTCATATTCTGTATAGAAATGATGACTTTGAGGTCTGGTGAGATGGCTCAGTGGTCTAAAGCACCTACTTAGAACAAGCTTAGCAAAGCACAGGGACCACAGTTCAATCCCCCAGCACCACATGCCAGCCAGCCCCGCCCCCTGGTGGACTGAGCTGGCCACACACACACACACACACACATAAATAAAAATTTTTAAAAAAAGAAATGATGACTTTGAATTTAATGTTACGATATATATGTAAATATATACATATTTAGAGGCATGTGAATATGTATTTTTTATTTATTTTTTGAATGTGTATTTTTAAAAGTTCATTTGTTTACACACAACTTGCAGGTTAACAAGTGTTTTGATTTTCATCTCCTAAATATACACTTGCATATATCTCAAGATAATTATATAAAACTAATAATTTCACCTATTTTGCTTTCATGTTAAGTGAGTACTGTGACTTACATAAAATTGTGTTTTCTTAGCATCACCATTTTACTTTGCATGTTTATATTGTCATGACTTTCAGAGCCTGCCGGTTAGCTCGGTTGTTTTAAGCGCTTAGTTATGCAAACGCAGTCAGGTACAACATACCTAGGTTCGATCCCTAGCTCCTCATGCCTTACTAGACCCACACTTAAGGCAGTCTGAGCCAGCACCCCCCCCCAAAAAAAATCCTATATTATTATGACTCGCAATTTGGTGTTAATTTTACCACAGTGTATACCAAAAACAAAAAAAATTACCTGTATGAGTTTCTGACTGTAACACATCAGCTGAATCATGCCTTGTTTAATAAAGGATATTGTGAACCACTGTACTGTATCAATCAGTGCTTGCTAGGGAAATGTTTTAATGTGAGATATACAAATATGTGAGAATATACAAGATTTGTTTACAGTCACTGCCCACACACTCAGATATGGAAGAGTGCAAAAGGTCTGTCTGTGCAGAACATATACAAAAAATCCAGTAAAGGCCTAGAGACCACTACAGTGTTCTGTGCTAGTCTGTGCTGGCAGAGCAATGGTCTGAGCTAGAGGCTGAAGAGTCTGTGCTGGCTGCCAGGAGATGGCTTTCAGTGTGACAGTGAAGACTGGAGCTCTTGCACAGAAACACATGCAAGCCTTCTGTTGTGGTTTTTGTTTAGATGTCCCCTAAAAGACTCATGCAATCATGGGTTGGGCTTCTTGAATTTTTTTTTTTTTTAATGTATGTGGTACAGGGTCTCACTATACAGTTTGGACTTGTAGTGATCCTACTGTTTTCAGCCTCCCCAGCGCTGGGATTACAGGCATGTGCCACCATGTCTGGACTCAGTTGCTGGTTCAGTGACCCCAGGGGCCAGAGCTGGCATGGCATGTAGTGTCGGGGATTGAACCCCAGTTCCTGCACTTGCCTAAGTAGGTACTTAGTCCACTGCGCCAGCTCACCAGCCCTTGGGATTCTAGAGTTTTGATTGACGTATGGTGCAATGGTGGAATTATGGGTGTGAGCACTACATCTGCCCTTGTGCATTAGCCTGAATACAATTTAAGGGAGGGAAATAGGCTTGTTTGCTCTCCCCCCTTTTTTTCGTACTGCATTTGCTGTTTTCCACTACCTTCAACTTTTGCCATCACATGTGCAGCCCTGCCTTACAGCCAGCTGCATGTTCCCTGATACCTCTCCAAACTGAGCTAAATAAACTTTTCTACGCTTTGTTTTTTTGCAGAATCGGGGATTGAACTCAGGTCCTCACGCTTGCCAGAGAAGCGCTTATTCCACTGAACCATCTCCCTGGCCCCTCTACCCTTAGTTCTATGAGTTAGGTATTTTGTTTCAGAAACTAGAGAAAAGTAACCAAGACACCTTCCTTTGTTTTTAATTTTTATAACATCCTCGCAACAATCTTCTAGGATGGGTCTTCCACATAAATAGCTTCCTTTAGCACATTTAGTTGGACGTGTAGTCCTTAGCTTGAGACAATCAGTTAACTTCCTATCCACCCCTTCACAACTCCACAAATATATTTCTTTAAACCATAGTCTCTTATGCCTAAGATGTTTTATATTCAGCCAGACAGTGAGATTAAGCTCAACTGCTTATGTTGTAGGGTAATAATAATAAGCTTCTCTTCTGGAGGGTTAACAACCTAAGTTTGCAGACCAAAAATTAGAGAAAAAGAAGGGCTGCAATGACAGCCAACATTTTGGCCCTAGCCTTTCAAGGTCAGTGAAGGCTCAGGACATAGGAGAACCTGTACTGTAACATCATGTAACTCAGTGGCGTCCCAAATTTTCTGATCACGGAGATTATGGGGCCACAGAAGAAAGTGATCAATGATGTAGAGTGTGCCTAAGGAGAGTCACCTGGAGAGAAAACATTCTCTCAGGCTTTCACAGAGAGCAAACTGGTCGAGCACTGGTCCACTACCTTCAACTTTTGCCATCACATGGCAAATGACTCATCCACATGGCTGACACTGTCAATGTATCTACAATCTGCGGTACAGGGTTTCAGGAAAAGTCTGGAGGGAATTTGACTGACCTTATCAGATACAAAAGCTACATTTCTTGTTATATAGGTCTTGCTTTATCTTGGCCTTAACCATCCAGCAGAAAAGTATAAAAACGAAGTATAAAAAGTAAATCCATATTAATATGCCGAGTTGTAAAAGGCTCAAGTCAACAACTTCTGACATTGCCAGTCTTATGGAACACCCACTACTATCATGGTGTACTGGACTGTATTGGAATATTTTGCTGAATTCACACACCTATAATATTTAAATGACAATGAAATACTCTTCTCTGACAAAACTAAACAAAAAAAGGATACAAATGAACGACCATTTTGTATCTGTATATTCAAAATAATTACGATAGATATACAACTACATTCTCTTAATTCAATGAATACAAAGATTTGTTCTAATAGTGTCTGTGGACAGGATATCATGTCTGCATCTTGTACAATGAATGACCACTAAGACACCAATATGCAATGTATTAAGTATTGAACCTGTCCTATTAATCAGTTTTGAAACTGTCTCATTGCTATTTGTTTCTCAATAAAATTATTAAAAAATAATAATAAACCATAGTCTCCAGAAACAAAGATGAATTCATAAATATGCTAGCATAAGTCTTGCATACAAATGGAAGTGCACTAATTTCCTCCCTTGAATAGGAGGAAAGTTGTTTTTTGTTGTTGTTTTTGTTTCACTGAGAGTGTAATGGATACTCCTAACATTTCATAACTGCAACACTACAACAGATTTAATAAGACTTAAAGCAAGTTTAAGTCTATCAATACATCACAGTGGAAGAATATTAAGAAAGGTCTGTTATAATCCTCATTTCTGTAGCTGATCATGGGACCATAGCATGTATTTAGAACTCATTGTATCCCATTCTATATTTGAATGTCTGCAAGCAACTTAGCTGGTTCTTTCCCTAATGTGAAGACCCTTACCTTCATTCTTGGAGGTTATGGACTTTATCCAATTGTTAAAATTCTCTTCTACTGAGGTCACATTTTAATAAACATTTATATAGGATTCAAATGTATTACACCTGCTGCCTATATACATAGGTCTACTCACAACTTTCATCTCAAAGTATCAAGTACCATTAATTTTCCACTTATGTTCCTGCCACCCAAGTAGACAATTCACTGCATCTCATGACTCAGTATGCTGTTGTATATCTTGCCAGTTGTCCTCTCTGGTAAAATGGACTCCTGGGTATACTGTCCAAAGTGCAGTCTAGGGGCCGGGGAGATGGCTCAGTGGAATAAGCGCTTCTCTGGCAAGCACAAGGGCCTGAGTGCAATCCCCGGTTCTGCCAAAAAAAAAAAGTGCAGTCTACTGTAAAAGACTACGAGTAAAGAAAATCTTCACCAGTGTCAAAGCAAGATGTTCTGCAAAGTGGTTGTAGTGCCACATCTATCCATCGACAGGTGGTGCTTGCCTAGTATGCAGAATAGTCCAAAACCAGCTGTATTTATGGCAAAATCCATGAAGGTGCAAGTACATGTTGGGAAAAGAATGTCATAAAGAAGTCATAAGAGCCAAGAGTGTCTGAAGAATTTCTTACAAAAAACTCATACTCTTTTGACTTGCTTGTGTATGTAGTTTCCATTTGGTGAAGGATTATTACTTTGCAAATCCAAGTTATGCCTCGATGGATCAGAAAAATACCCAGCTCATGCTAAGAAGCTCAGATCACAAGGTAGCCTGGTGTCCCTTAGTCAAGATTGCAGTTTCCATTATGCCCCAGTATCATGCCAAGAAATATTTTTCAAGGGGAGGGTAGTTTTTGCATATTATGGCAGAATCTTGCTCCCAAATCCTCAATGTCTGCCTAATAATTGGCATATGAGAGGTGGCAGAAACTACAAACAGCATTTCTATAAGCCACTAACACTTGAAAATTCACTGGATTTCCTAGATCATATGGCTCCAGTGGCAGAGCAGCCCACAGAACAGAATGGACCTGTTGCAGAGCCTTTTCCTCTTCAGAGAACTACTCAAATCTAGGAGCTTTTGGAGGCACTCAGTAAATGAGCCTGAGAAAAGCACCTAAGTGAGGAAGGGGTTACATCCAACATCCAAGTAGGT